TATATCCGATATGAATAACTTCTCAGTTTTTTTTTTTAAATTTATAATTAAAAGAGTATTTAATCTTCGGCGTGCCGTATACAGCTTCTCCCACTTGTTTCATTTTTAAATGTATTTTTTCTGTTGTTGTTTGTTTCAGAGTTTTAACGAATGATTTAACTGTTGAAAAATCATTCAATGCATGTACGAAATGAGTTAAAGGCAGATGCGTTGACGACAGCTGTGGACCACGCTGCATAAAATCAATAGTCCAGATACACAAACACACATATAGACTGACTGACATGCGGACACAAAGGCACACACACACACATACTCGGTGTGTTGCACTGTCAACAGTCAAGTGGCAGTGCATTAAAATTGTTAACTTGAACAACAAACAAAAGCCACAAACAGACGTTCGCTCTTTAGTTCGTATGCTCGCTTGCCTGGATTTGTGTAGAGCCTGTTGTGTTGGGTTTTGGTTCGATCTGGGCCAGGTTGGCTGGGATTCTGAGCGGCGACTGGTATGCTCGATTGGTCAGCACATTGCCGCAAGCCACACGGCCAAAAAGCTGGGCTAAGAACAAGCTGGAGTTGGATGATAGGGTGTGGGGGGGGGGGGGGGGGGTCAGGTTCTGCGATGTTGCAATTGTGCACATTGGTCGCCGGTATCCGGCTTATAAGCTGCCAATTTCAAATTGTGCGTCACGTACACGCATAATGGGCAAATGTAATGAAAACATACGAACAGACGTAGGGCCAGGAGAGGGGAAAGGGAAAGGAAGGAGGGCAGTTGACTAAAGTTGATCGGTATGGCCCTGCACGCACTGGGGGCATGGCTTGCCACATTTCCAGTAGGCAGTTGCAATTGCATTGCAAATGCGCAAAATAATAATTTGCAATACGCGCAGTTCAATTACAGCAGCAGCAGCAGCAGCAGCAGCAACAACAGCAGCAGCAACTCCTTGGACTACGAATCATCGTACTGCGTATCATTTGATGCCTTTTTTTGCAACACGCTGTTGCAGTCATATAATTGATATGCTCTAAGTAATTGGCGCTGACCACGCGAGCAACATCTATGCTGTTGGTGCTGCTGCTGATGGTACTTTTGCTGTTGCTGCAAGTGAGAGATCAAGCAAATGATTTGTATATCGAACGATCGTTCGATTATGCGTCGGACATGCTGGCGACATAGAGGACCACCCCACTGTACCTGCCAGACATCCATCAAGCGCCTAATTGCATTGCCAGCAGCGGCAATAGCAGCAGCAGAACATCAACTGCAGCAGCGACTTTAATGCATTGTTGTTAAATTTTGTTTATAAATCAAAAGGCATAACGCTTGGTAAATCGTTACAGGCTTATATGCTGTTGTTGTTTCTTATGTTGTTGTTGTTGTGGCCATGTCGCCAACATGTTGCTGGCTGTTGCTGTTCCTGTTACGGTTCTTCATGTTTGCGCTATGCTAAATGTCGTCACATTTTGTGCAGCGTTGTTTGTTGTTGCTGTCGTTACTGTTGTCCTTGTCATTGTTGCTGGTACAAAACTGCCATTTATAGGCAATTAGGCTTTGATTTTAGTTGCTGTTTGAATGGCTGCTGCTGATGCTGATGTTGCTGCGGTCCTGCGAACGCCATTAATGCAGTGTGTAACAAATCATGGCTGCAATTAGTGCGTGTTTATGACTGCCTGCCAGCGGGTCTGGAGTATTGGGCAAGAGGGGAGATAGAGGAATATAGCCGGCGCCCTGTCGAATGAAGTGACTGGCAAATAGCAAGAACCATTTCAGCGCTCAATATTTTTGTACTTTTAAGCTGTCTGTTGGGCGATTTTTGCATGTTTAGCGCACCGCACAATTTGCATGCGATGTCGGCAACAATGTCCACTGATGATGGCGGCGGCAGCAACAGCAGCAGCAGCAGCAACGGCAGCAGCGGCAACTGAAGCCGTGTCCAGTGTCCAGTGTCCAATGGCGTCAATAATGGCCTGTCGTTTGCCTCCGCTCTCTGATGGCCATAAACGCCCGCCAGCCATATTGTTAACCGCATCAGTCGATAGTTGTTTTTACTGCCGCCGCTGTTGCCGATGGCTTTGCACTAATTGCGCTATCCATGTACAACATACACATACATGTACACTTGCTTAATGACATAGATCATGCTAATATAATTATATAGGAGCCGCCAACAAATGCTCCCATATCATATCATCAAATGTTAAAGAGAACAAATAATCGACCAGCATTATAGAATTATAAAATTATGTAATCGAGCAGAGGCTAAACTTTGAAATCAACGTTGAGAGATTAGAGAGTCGAAAGTAAACTACAGAATTTGTTTTTTTTTTATTTTTAATTTGCACGCCATGAATGTAGGTCATTAAATGGTCGTAAGAGTTGCTAGATGAAATGCTTGACGCAGCCGGGCATAAAGCGTTCACGACTTTGCCATTTTCCCAGCAACAATCGGCCAAAAAAAAAAAAAACTTTAAATAATTTCTATATTAAACTAGCATGAGAACAACTTGCACATTTTTGACAGCAATTTTCTGTCCAAGAGCACCCCCAAGCAACAAAAATAGCGAAGAAAGAAACAACCGCTGATAAGCCATGTAGTTGAAAGAATATCAGCAGTGATATATCAACTGTCTAAAAACACAAGACATGAAAAGAAAAAACGAGTAGAAAACCGAAAGACCAAAAACGGCAAACAGAAACCGAAAACCCCCGCACAAAAATCGTTGAGTGCTGAAGCTTTATCGCTGCCAGCGGCCAAAAAGAAATGCAATTTTGGCCAAGTGAATACATAGAAAACATGGCAAAGGAAAATGTACAAAATGATATTCGTCTACTAGGCTGATGACGATGACGATGACGTCGACGTCGAATCTGGTAAAATTGTAAAAATGTAAAATGGTAATGGCGATGCGACCGTCGCGCTGCTTAAAATTCCAAAGCAAATTGTGGGCAACAACACCAGCAAATATTGTTGCCTATTTGTGGTGGTTGCTGTTGTTGTTGTTGTTGTTGTTGTCGGCAAACAGCAAAATTCAACAACATCACAAACATCAATTGACCCTTTGGTGCTTTAGGATCAAGCGTAATAATCGCTAGCATAAAAACGCTTTGCACTCTTGCGCCCAGAACGGAACAGCACAGCAACAACAGCGACAACAACTTCAGCAGCAACAACAACAACAAGATAACACTGCTGGCCGTGGCAAGGGACCTTAACATGCTTAGCTTGGCCTGTAACTGAGAGTGGCTAAAGCTGAGATTCCATCCAGCTATTCCCAGCACATGTGCCTACATCTCTCTGCTCTGTCTCTGTCTCTGTTGGTCTGAGCAGCCAATAGCCAATGGCAATGGCAAGGAATGAAGATGAATCGCCAGAGTCTCAGCGCGTTTAATAAAACATTAATTTAAGCATATATCTTATACACATACACCCACATACATATGCATATGGAGATTTCAATTGGGCCGCCAGCGATGCTTCCTGCTGACAACTATAATACATGATGCCATTGCTATACTGATTGCAAACTGACCCAAACACAATAAATACTCTACAAGCACTTGACGATCATAAGCGATAAGACTATAAGCCGAATGTATCTATGCCGCATCTATAGATCTGGCAGATAGATCCACTTGGCATATATTGTAATGAACTCATGCAAATATGCACTGATATTTTTTAGAAGCACTCCCGATTTTTGTAAATTAAGCATTCATTTTAACAATTAATATATACTAAGGAATACGACTTTAATATCTTCATTTAAAGTTTTTTTACAAACAAAAATTCGTGCACTAATGAGTAGCAGGCAAATTTAAAGGTATTCGCATTTCTAGAGTTGGAAAACTTAATTAAATAAAATATATAAATGCTGGCACCCATGTACCACAGCCAACTTTACGTAGCGCAACGATTGCTTATTTCACATATTGTAGAATATATTTTGTGGCCAGCGCAGATTTTTTAGTGTTCTTTTTTTCAGCTTTTAAAACGTCCGCCTAAGGGTCAAATTTTACACGCTCTCATGTGTGTGCCCTGATCCATGCAACAGGCCAGTCCCAGTCCCAGTCCCAACACCAATCCCCGTCGCAGTCAATGGCAGAACGAGTGCAACACGAACTATTTAATGGACTTGGCATGCTCAGACGGGTAGCCATGTGAGAAGAAGACATCTGGCTCAGACCCGGACTAGTATAGTATGCCATCAACAATCATCTATCGGAGTTTGTGTGTGTCTGTGGGTGTGTGTGTGCCCGTTAATCAGCTTTGGCTTGCAGGCCTTTCATCAAAAGCGCAGGCGGCACTCACAATGCGCGCAGTGGGCCACAAACTGAAAACAAAACTGAAACAGAACCAAACCGAACCGAACCGAACAAAGATTAAGCATACGACGTGTTGCGCAGTTATCGTTGTAGTCGAACCCAAAAATGGCATCCATACATAATAATGGTCAACTAACGGATCGGCAACCGATGCGTTGACGACAAGACTTTCGAGACCTCTCCAGTCTCTGGCACTGGCACTGGCACCGGCACTGGCACTGGCACTGGCACTGGCACTGGCCGCAATTGTAATTTATGATTCGCAGCGCACGGCGTCCAAATGATCTATTGGCGCAGTCGCCGAGCCAAGTCAAAGTCATTTTCTTTAGAGACGGTGTGCCGGGCTCGTTTTCGTTATTGTCTCGTTTGCGTTATTGTTTTGCAGCAACATCCCAACTATCGGCTGCGTCATCAGCACTTGTTGCATCACATCGCATAACAGTTAAAATAATTTTCGCATCGCATGTGGCAGACCTAGGTAAGGACGCCAGGGGGCAAACACATCTCCACCAATCCCGCCTCTCCCGCAAGGGTGTCTAGTTCGCGGTCAGCCAAAATAAAATGCACATTTTTGTTTTACAACGCCAACGCTGTCGCCATCGATGATTAATGGTTTTTTTTTTGGTGTTTGAGGTATGGTCAGAAAGTCATAAATAAGAATTGAAAGAGACTGTTGCGTATTTATCATTGGTAAACTTTATTCTTTACATTTTACATATAGTTTGTTTAAAATTATGTGTCCGATGCGACATGGAGAGTAAAGGTAGCAATGCGATAAATCGAAATAACTCGCAAGATGATGATGATGATGATGGAGATGCTGATTTGAGTGATCGATCTGAAGATCACCGTCAACATCATCAAGCGAGGATTCGATGTGTCGACAAAATACCCTTAAGCATTACAATACATATATATATATATATATGCCTGCGGTGTGTGTTTTGTTTACGGTACTCGTAATTGAAACTGTTTATAGAGAAATGATTTGCATTAATAAGAACTACGTACATTTTAAACTAAACTGGCTACTTTTTAGTATGTGGGAAACTTTGCGTTCGATTTTTTTTGTTTTGTTTTTTAACATGTAGAATGGCGGCTGGTCATCGATTGATAAACTGCAGCACTCGAAATGTACAAATTCAAACTGTTTGCTTTGTTTGTGTGTTGTTTGTCAATAAAATCTAAAACTATTACTTCTTCTTCGGCTCAACTGCCCGCTCCTTCTCCTTGTCCTGCTCCTGCTCCTTCGTCTCCCGTTGCAGCTGTCTCGTCTGTTGCTGTTGTTGTTGCAGTGGTTGCTGCTGTTGCTGTTGTTGTTGGGTGCGGCTGCTGCTCGGGGGCGCTGACTATAAGGGTGGCGCTTCGTAATGAAAGCCCGGATTATTGAATTTGAAGCGCGCGATCTCAAATTGCAGCGACTCGTAGTTGATGTCCGCCAAACGCTTTAGCTGATGCGCTATCTCCTGCGCATCCAGGCCACTCAATGCGGCGCTCAGCGACGTGCTCTGCGCCTCATGGTGCATCTTTGTGTTGTGCAGCGTCGGCAGCGAACCGCTCGCCTGGATGGTCGTATAAGAGCGCGGCGCATTCTTAACTGCAAATTGGCAAGGCACACAGATGAGCATAATAATTTAGAGAGTTGGTCAGTTGAGAACTCACCCTCATAGATAACTTGATCTCGTCGTAATCGCTTGACAGGTAGCTCGCCGTTGATAAGCTTGGTGCCGCTGGAGCTGCTCTGCGTGCAGACGTACTTCACAGGCTCCACTGGTGGCTCTGGGGGATCCTGTTCCTCCTCCACATACGTAGAATTGTCAACGACAATGGTCCGATAACCGCCGCCACCAGTATTCACTGCCGTTGTGGCGCCCACGCTGGGCCCATCGATGCCGCCAACGGGTTCGTGCATATTCTCATCGGTGAGATCCTCCTGATCGACATGCTCCTCCACCATCTCATCGTCGTCGACCTCATCATTGATGGCCTCATCGACGGCCGCTTGAAGTTCCTTTTGGAACGATGCCGACGTGCGCTGACCCAAATCCTCCATTTCATCCTCCTGATCGTCTTTCTCCGATTTGAGGTTCATCAGTGGCTCCCCGGTCAGCGGCACCTTGCCAAACAAATTGAGGGCGCGCGTCTCCAGCGACGACATCGAAATGTCCTTCTCGTTGTGCGTCAGGCTGCGTCTGTACTTGCAACGTGTCGTGTTCTTCCAATCGTTTAATCGCTGCAACAACAACAAAAATATTTATTCTGCGTGTCATTTGCCGCCAATAATTGAAGACCCCTTCCCCCGGCTCTAACCCTCACAAAACAACATCTAAAGTTGGGACTTGTAGAAAACTCACCTTGCGCCACTCCTCGGCGGTTAGCGTGGGGCCCGAGCCGCATTTGTTGAGCCTGTCTGAGAGCTCCTTCCACTTGCGAGTCAAGTAATTCAGATCGTAATCGCGCGGCACGCGTCCACTGGCAAAAATTGGGTCGCTCTCCATTAACTCAATGTACATTTGGTACTGCTCGGAGGAGGTGCGCTTTTTGCGTCTGTCCATCTCTCTCTGGCTTCCAATTGCACAAGCTGTTGTCCAAAATTTGGTTTTTGTCGGCAAAAATTGCACTCAAAATACGTAAAATTAAAATCGACGCCACTAAATGCAAACAATTTTTACGCGCTATGCGTTTTTTAGTGCATTTCTTTTAAACGGTGGACATGTCTGCTCGTCGCGACCTATCGATAAATTGGCTCATTTTGCGTTATGTTGGTTCAGCTTGGTTTACGTCGTGGCCAGTACGCTGCTCTCATTGTAAAGCAAACAAAAATATTATTTACTTGTGCTCTGGCGTTTTTAACAACTCACTTTTGCTAAAATAAAAAATATGGCTTAGCTTGTTCTTGCGTATTATGTAAAATTATAAGTTATCTGGTGCCGGCTGGTACCGATAACCATCGCAGCAATCACGTTAAAGTTTTGTTCGTTTTGATCGATAGTTGAGAGTGCTGCCCAAGCACACTACGCCAGTGCTACCCATCAACAGACTAAACCATTATAAAGCGAATACAGCAAAATTTATTTTCCGTCAACTTCGAGCGTATAAATAATTACATTATTGTGAAATAGAAGCATACCGTTAGTGACAAATCGCTGGCCATAGAAGTGGCCAGCGAATGCGCTACAGCAGCAAGCGAGAAATGTGCACATTGACATATTAAATGCCATGGAAAAAAAGACGCATGTCCAATTCTTGCTAATATTGCTGCGAGCAAAACCAGATGATAACTGAGAGAGAGCAAGAGAGGGACAGAGAGTGAGTGAGAGTGAGAGCGAGAGCGAGAGCGAACCGAAACCCAAACTTCCTTCCGAGTGTCCAATTCCGAGTCCGATTCCAAATCCGAATCCGAGTTAGTTCCATTTCGAGGAGAACTTTTGACTTCTCCACACAAATATGGCCGATTCGTTGTTGTATGCCGAGGTGCCTCCCTTTCTGGAGGATGTGGCAGCCTCTGTTATTGTTGAGCCCACAGCAGTGGGCGGAGGCGTTGGTGGGGGTGGAGGTGGCCCCTTGCCACCAGCTGCCATACAGTTTGCCGATCTCACAGAGAGCGGCAGCGAAAGCGACGAGGTCAGCACAATACCACAACAGGCACAGCTGGACCAGCATCAGCAACACCAGCAGCAGCAGTCACAGGAGAATGACTCCTCTTCCGTCGGCGGCGGTGGTAACGGCGCTGGACAAAGCACAACGCCCGCTGCACGCTCCTCACCGCCGCCGAACTGTGCCATTTGCTTGTCGCGCTGCAGACGCAAATGCTTCACGGACTCGTGTATGCATCAATTCTGCTTCAAATGCCTCTGCGAATGGAGCAAAGTGAGTGTATCCAGTGTATACAAGTATCCAGTTGAAGTAACACCTGCTAATGTATGATTCCCTCAAACAGATCAAACCGGAATGCCCGCTGTGCAAGCAGCCGTTCAAGACGATCATCCACAATGTGCGCACCCTGCAGGATTATGATCGGTATCCGGTGCCGAGCAGCACGCCGGAGCACTCGGCGCTAAGTTTTCACATTGTGAACATTCGCCGCCAGCGCTTTATGCTGCAGAACCAGGCGATTCTGACCAATGACTTGGATGCAGCTGCCACCGATGAGTCGCAGGATGGTGTCAATGTCAATGCACTGCCGCATCGCATGCACGGCCCGTTCAATCGCTTTGAGCCGTATCGCATGGAGCTCCTTAACCTATATCGCCACGACCAGGACAGCGGTCGCACCGGCACCGGCCCTGGTTCACTCAGCCAGCTCTGGCGTCGCTACGTCTACGATCGCAAGTTGTACGCGCTGCCCGTCAGTGACAGCCTCACCGGACACTATCGAGAGTGGAGCGCCCGCTTCTACAGGTGAGTGGGGGAAGATCCCAGATACATATATCCATATATATTAGAAAATACAAATTACTTAAAGAAATTATTTCAAATTTAATATTATAGAATAAAAATGTGAAACGAACGCTTTTTTTTAGGCACATCAAAAATTACATACCATTATAGACCGGAGTTGAGCTGCTGAGTTCAAATTAAATTCATTTCAATTTCAATTGGTCGCTTCAAGTCAATATTTTTCTTAAGATACCTGTTTCTGGCTGTTAATTAAATATTGCACATTTGCGTAGTTAAATTTTATCGGAGGAGGGTTGACATTTATGCCATTGTCTATCTCGATTCCACAACCCATCTCTTAACCGTTTTGTTCCTATGGCAGCTATGTGATCCGATTCTGATGATTATATGTTTACCAAGTATGAGGAACTTAAGAACATGCATATTTTGTAACATTAGATATGATATCTTAATTAAATTTAATTCTTTACCGATTGTTCATATGGTAGATATATAATATAGTAAGCTGATCCAATCGCCTCCGACTTCATGAGTGAGCGAAATTAAATAAAGGCGATATACCAAGTTTTATCAAGATAGCTTTAAAAATATCGGCTTAGTTTGCACAGTCGGACGGACAGACAAACATGGCTATATTGACTCGGCTAATGATAATGATCAGGAATATATATATGGATATTGGAATGTCTTCTTCAAGGCGTTACATACAATACAAACAAGGGTAAAAAAAAATTAAGCTTTCAAATATACATTTTTGATTTACACTTGTATTTATATACTTTGATACCGAAGGTATCATAGTATGTTGGATTTGTGTAATGTCCGTCATGCTGCCTGTCCGTCTGTATGAACAAATACTGATCTGTGCCCGCGTAACACAAAGTGTAAAAATTAGAATGATACGTCCGCTAGGGGCTAGCAAATCGATAAAATCGATATTCACAAATCGATAAAGCCACATATTTCCCACAATTTTAACGCTACAGTCAAAAAATGTTGGTAGATTGTTGGCGATGTCCTTCAAAGATCGGTATATGCCCACCTCCGCCGCCCCCACGCCCCTCGCAAATAAATATTTTAAATGGGTATATCTTTCGCAGTTTTTGAGTTAGAGCCGTCAAACTAGGCAGGTATGTTACTGGTAGCCGCCTTTAAGAAGCGGTATCTAATTTTTATGGCCACGCCCACATCTGCGCCCATAATTACCAATGCTGATATTTCGGAAAGTGTAAATCGATAAACCCGCATATCCGACAATTTTAAACATAGAGTGACCAACTTGAAAGGTAACTTGCTGGTAACCTCCAAGGATCGGCATATTTTCAGAACCCGTCCACACCCGTTGCCCCCAGGAACTTCGGCCATAGAAACTGAAATGCGCATTTCTTCGACAATTTGTAAGCTAGAGCCCCTAAAAAAGGTATGTTACTGGTTAGCTGCCCCAAAAGATCGATAAAAAATCTGGGAAAAATAATTGGACTACGCCCGCCAACGTCCCAATAACGATAAAAGCATATTTCTACCATAATTTAAGAGCTACAATTACCGAACTTGTAAGGTAGATAGAGCTCCAAACTTTTTGGCCACGTCCACACCCACCTCCAAAATTCGCAGAAGCCTATAGCTCCCGCAGTTTAATAGCTACAGATACCAAACTGGAAGAGTGATTACTCGGAACTTTCTCTAATAATTTTTTTTGGCCACGACAACTCCCGCCCCCCAAATTTCCATATCTCTCTTAACTTGAGAGCTACGGTTACCAAGCTACAATGGAACGTTACTAGCTTATGTTTATCACAATTTGAAAGGCAAACTTGGACAGTACTTCTTTATTACTTGTTCTCCGCTGGAATAACTTATGATATTAAAGTATTTCGCAGTCAGTTACGCCCGACTGCAACGTTCTCTCTTGTTTTTTCTAAAATTCACAAAAAAAAAGGAATTCATATTTGAGGAGTTTTGATGCTTATATGTTTTTACCGAAGACTAATGATATCCAATTTAATTTAAATGCTAGAATAGATTCCAAGCGTAATGCGAATTTAAACGTAGTAACTGAATTATTTTGAATTCCTTTTGCAGAGATAATCCCGCCCAAATGCATCGCCTGATACCGTGGATAAATCGGGATATTGTGTGCCTGTTGCGCAACTCGACACAGAATGTGAGCGAGGTGATGCAGCTGATGCACGATATTCTGCCGATGATCAATATACCGACGCAGACATTCCGGCGGCGACTGGCACCGTTTCTGGGCGAGCGCACCAATCACTTCATCCACGAGCTGTTCAACTTTGCCCGTTCGCCCTATGATATGATTGGCTACGATCGCGTCGTGCAGTACTCGGCCCGTCTCGCCGAGGAGGTGGAAGTGGATCTACTCGATCTGGTGTCAAATAGTGATAGCAGCGCACCACAGCCAGCGGATGCCCCTGCAAATGCCAATGGCAACGCCAACGCCAATAGTAATGGCAATGGCAGCAGTAGCAGCAGCGGTGGCAACAGTGGCAATGTTGCAGATTTGACTGGCAGCGGGGAGTCATCGAGCGATTGGGGCCGCTTGCCACGCCCGTCGACGAGCGTGATTGTGACCAATCCGAGCTCAACACATTCCTTCAGCGTCACCATGGCCACCGATGGCAGCGAGCTGCCAGGCATTTCCATACGCCGCACGACAACCTCAAATGTGGGCTCGCAAACGGTGGCCATCAATCTGAGCATGCGTCGCTCCGCCAACGAGGTGATCGAGATCGATGACGGCGATGCTGCCGCCAATGCTGAAGTGGCCGCCATCAATGATAGCAGCAATCAGACGGGACGCCGCCAGGCTGGTGCGAGTCTGCCGATTAGCGCTCACATTGAGCTGCAGAGCAGCGAATGCAGCAATAGCAGCGACGAGGACGAGTGCGTCTTTGTACTGGAGCGAAAGCCGCCACATTTGCGCACACCCGAACTGGTCAGCCTGGACTCCAACAGTGACTCGGATGTCGTCTTTGTCGATGAGCAGAAACCAAACAGCACTCCGCCGAAAGCGGCTGTCGCTGATGCGACCAACATCGAGCAAGCGGCAACAAAGGATGCAGCATCAGTCGGTTTACTGGCTAGTGATATGTTTATGGGACCCAGTACCAGCACCGGCGTCTGCTCTTCCTCGGGCAAGCACTGGAAGACGGTGCTAGAGGAAACGCGCCGCCAGGATGCAATCCAGTCGCGCACCCGTCATTCCAAACGCAACGTGACACGCGTCCAACATCGCTGCCTGCCGGCGGAGACGAGCAGCAGTAGCAGCAGCAGCGCCACCAACTGGATAACTAGCAGCGACGACAGCAGCAGCAGCGATGACTTCAACGTGGCGACCATGCGACGAAAGCGACGTGCGGCACGCAAACCCAAGACGCGCAAGCGACCCGCCAACGTCAAGGCGGCCGTGCAGCTCAAAAGCAAGCGGCGAAAAAAGCAGACATCGGAGCCTGAGGAGAGTAGCAGTGGCAGCAATGGCAGTAAGAGCAGCAGTAGCGCAGACGAGAGCAGCGGGGGCGACAGCAGCGATGCTAAGCAGACAACTGGTCTGTGTGGGTACCAGTTTAACTTAAGTAAAAAAGATTACTTAATATTATTTCTTTACCAGGCTCCAACAACAACAAAAACAACAAGACCAGTGACAATAACAACAAGATTGAGCAGAGCAGCAATAATAGCAGCAGCAGCGATAATGACAGCACTGAAAATGTAATGCTGAGCAAATTGCGTGTCAAGCTCAAATCGGAGCCCAGCAGTAACGAGGATAGGAAGCCGCTCAAGCGTGAATTGCCAACGGAGGAGCCGTTGGCGGAGGCGGAGGAGCATCCCGAAGTCAGCGCTGCTAAGCGGCGGCTCAGCTGCAGCAGCAACAACAGCAACAGTAATCTGTCCAGTCAGAGCAGTAGTGGATTCAGCACCCTGGCCAGCCACTGCACAACCATGTCCAGTTGCTCGCCACTGAGCGAAGCATTGACGAATACCGATGCCAATGTGCCTCCGTCGTCCATGGTGCATGAAATAGCCAACTCGCTGATTGAGCTGTCCACGGTCAGTGTGGCTGGTGCAACCAGCGATCAGTTATACAATTATGGCGTTGATGATGTGCTCAGCTATTTGCGTAATGCGTTGCCCAGCGCCAGCGCCAGCACCAGCACGCAGCATGCCCAGGATGAGGATGAGCAGCTGGGTATTTATTTGGATGAATCGGATAATGCTAATAACATTTTTGATGTTGTCACGGATGCAGTTAGTGACGCCCAAGGTGGAGAGTCTGTTGCAGCCAATGAAGATATCCAGCCGGCAGAGCTGGAAATGGAGCAGAATGAGACCATTGAGCACCAAAGTGAAAACGTCGACGTCGACGGCGACGATGAAGACGACGATGACGAAGACAAGGATGAGGCAGAGGAAGAGGAGGAGCACAATAATGCCACCGACGATGCTGAAGATTCGGTGGCTCCTGAGACCGAAAACAGTGACTCGGATCAGGATGCAACGGATGCCTATTAAGACGCCTTGCCGCTTTATTTTAAAATTTTTTTTATTCGTTGTTTTTACTAATCGAACGACATAATTTTATCTTCAATATAGAGTGACCAGATCTTGTTGACTATATTAAGAGAAATCCATTCAAATTTAGCTTTGCATGTTATACACTAAAATCACGTACCGCAGATCAAAAAATTGATTGTATTGCAGGCCTAAGGTTAACCTGCACCTCTTAAGTTGTACATACATACACATACACCTACATATAACTAATATCTAATTATTTAAGACGAATCACCCAAAAACTCATCCCAAAATTTGCATTATTTCCCACCCAAAAATCACACTCATTAAACCCATGGCGAAACACCAAGTAATAAGCCCGCATGCGCGCTGTTCCCCCAAGTATGAATTGAATTGTAAATGTTTGTAATTGCTTAAGTTATCATATAATATAAATACATATATATATATATATATATATATATATTCATATAATATTCATATACAATACATACAAATATATATAAATGTATAACGTAATCGATGCAAGGCTAGTTTATGAACTATAACTGCATATGACACCGTTTCAGCAAAACTCACATCCGAATGCTAATTGCTGAGCATATCCAAAGGTCGCATTAGCGATGTAGTCGGTTATTGAATAGTACTGCAAGAATGCAATAAATGTAGCAATTTAAGCAACTTAAACACACTTTTCATTCAATTATACATACGTTTAGTTGGTACGATTATTGGTCGAGTTCCTAGTTTGTTTTATTTGTCTTATTGCTGTGTATGCACCAGTTTTGCCGAAAATATGAACGTAAGTAGAAATCGGTTTCCTACTGCCTCTGGCAAACATTCTAATCGAATTGTATTTCTGAAGAAATCATTCCAGATCAAGAAAACTCTTCATTTTTTTAGTGATGACGGCTTAAATCTTCGTTTAATATTTTGCAATTATTTTGATGTGAATAGCCTACTCTGCAATTGTTATCGATATGTTGTCGTCTGTCAAATATCAATTATTAAGTCATTCAAGTTATTCGTCTAGGACGTTTCAGCTGAGCAACTATAAGTCAAAACCTAAGCAGACGATCTTTATTCGGAGTAATTTATCAATTATACATATATATATATATAGACCGACTTCAGGCATATGCTAATCTTTATGCAACGCTCGTTTGAATATCGAGACACTTAGAAAAAGGGGAAATTGTCATATTTTTAATAAGAGATTGGAAGTTGAAAAAGTTGAAATATGGACGCCCTTATGCCAAAACCGGAATCACGTTATTTGATCCATTGGCGTGCTTATGTTTATGTCAACAAATTGTACTCGCTGCCAAAAGGCGAGGTACGTGGTTTTCGCAATTTAAAACCGGTGGATTTCAGGTGAGATATGTGTGTATACTTGGAAAATCTAAAGATGTATTTATTAATCGCATTCGATAGCCGCGATTTGAATGAAATGATTCGTGTGCAGGAGTTCGCAAACCGGGATCTTTCCGTGCTGCTATTCCACAAGCGAACGGATTTGGCGAATGTCCGTGATGTAATCCTGCCAAATCTGCTCTTCGGAATAAACATGAAGAGCTTGGAGTTTCGTATCGCATTGTCACCGTATATAGGATCAAGGACCAATCACTTTGTGCAGGAACTCATTAACTATGCACGCTCGCCGTATGGGGATCCAGTCAGTTATGAGTTCAACGTGAAGTATCGCAGCGAGTTGGCTGTCGATGGCGCTGTGCTTCACAACTTTGTGGAGTTCTCGAAGCGTGTGGATGAGAATGAGTATGTGAGCGAACCGCTGTATAGCCAGTTGTACGTTCAGGATGCCAGCGGCGAGACCAACGATCTGACCGTTCTGGATAACGGAATGGATGCGACACTGCTCCAGTTGCACCACTTGAGCCAAAGTTTCCAAGTATGCAAGGCGCAGACGGCTCAAAAGGAGCCAGCCAGATTGGCTTATAGAAAACCATCACTTCAACTCGCCGGCGATCCAAGGCGTTCGGAAGTCAATGGGCCGCGGCTCACGAGATTGAAAATTGCCAGGAAGTATGATCGACTGAGGCGGAAGCGTTGGAACTTGAAAGACCAAGCCTAAGAGACACACTCGCACACACTCACACACAGTTACACTCACTCACACCCACAGTTACACGTGCAATTTGGGCACGTGCCGCGTCTTTTGTCTGCCTCTTGTGTATTATGATTATGCACATCTATAATAAATAATAAAAAAAGGAGCTTAACAAATTTTAAGTTGAGTAAGAAAAAATAAAAAAGACAGGAGGGGCCAGGTTTTACTTTCGTTTTAAAAGGTTTGGCCGCCATCAAATATTGATGGCCGTGAACAGTTAACGGATATCTGAAAAAGGGATAGCTCATCAATAAGGACATGCCATCGAAATTGCGTGCCAAATATGCCTTTGACGCATATTTTCTGCAGTCCCTTGTCTTAATGCTAACCATCCTCCCCAATTCCCTACCACCGCTGCAGAGGTAGCCAAGCGCAGTGCCTCCCCCCTCGAGAAGTCCCTCGCCTGGCGGCGCATGAAAAATTGAATTACACGCACTTTTGCGCATAAGCAAGAGCCGAAGTGAAATTGAAACAACAGCAGCAGCGGCAACAAAATGTCGAGTGAAAAATGCGGCCGCATTGGTTTTAAAATGTGTGCGGCGCGGTGTGGTGCGGTGTGGTGCGGTGTGGTGTGGTGCGATGCGATGCGGGGGGTTGGGGAAAGTGAATGAAAGAAAGGTCGCTTGTGGTAGCAAATTTATGGGCAGCAAATTGAGTTAAGTTTCTGTGCGAGACAAAAAAAAGGGGATAATATAATTGTCCTCGGGTACACAATGTAATTCAATGCATATTTGATTTTATGATTTTTTTTAGGTATAAGGTGCGGTTTCATTGCATATCAAAGAACAAAGCTGCAGAGCGTCTGCTATTAACTCAATCTGGTGGTACGTACCTAAGTGTAGGTGAAACTTAACTAACCATTTCATATGAATGTTATCTTTTCCTAGCTATCACGAAATCAAAGTCATTTGACACTCAATGCATGCAACTTGCATAAATCCGGAATCGGCTCTGAAACTTAGCCGTGGGGTAAATGTCATTAGGGCCACGAATGCATTTGCTGCTTGGCTGGCAAACTAATTTGCGTAATCTTGACGAAAAACTTTCTATTTGATCTGCTGACTCGACCAGTCATACAATTGACAGACACGTAAAGCACCAAGTTTTGTTAGCCTGCGAAATAAAAGCGAAACGCTTCAAACTTTCTTTCTTTTTTTGAATACCCTGCACCACACCAGCAACAAAAGCTTGGTAGTTAGGATTCATTGAAAGTTGTGCGAAAGTAGGAAAAAGTGCTAGAAGCAAGTTTAGTTGACGGTTGCGTCGGAGAATTTTTAGATCTATGGACCAAATCTCTTCCGTCAAAGAAGGCTCTCTTCGTCCTGTTTCCAGCTTTTATTGAACTAGGATCAGAGCTCTTGAAAGGACGTATTTAAAGGGTATTTTAAATTTGCACCACTACTGAAGAAGTTTTTGGTGCATTTTCAGTTGCAGCTGCAGGCAAGCGAAATAGGCAAGGGCAGGATTGGGAGGATTGAGGTGCTTTAGGAGATGCTGTCAGTGGTTGTCGGTTTGGCAATTTGATTGCGAAGCCAAGAAAAGTTGGCGAGATTTAAGTTTGAGTTGCAAATTACAGCGACAGAATTAAACGAGGCAGACATTAAGCACCGTTTCACTTCATGGCCTTTAGTCCGCCTGCATAAATCAGCTGGGCGGACAATTGCTGCCAACAGATGCAATAATCAGTGCCTTTATGGTCATTTTATGAAAATGAAGCTGACAACACTGTACACAGTGATATATAGTTCTAGGCTGGAAATTATATATTTTGTGCGAACTATGAGCATATCTAAGAGGCATAGAATTTTATACGTGATATTCACGAGGCTTGGGCTGGGGTGGGTTTGAAGCAGTGTCAGAGTTATGGCGCATAAATGTTTAATGCGGCAGCATTTCGGGGCTTATCTTAAATTGTGCGCGAACGGCAAAAAAAAAAAAAAAAAAAAAAAAAAATTAAAATAATTGCCACATTTGCCACAGCGGGCAATTAATCAAAAGCCACAATGATATGCGGAAAGGCGGTTCGGCAATTATGTAGCATGTATGTGTGTGTAAGAGTATAAATGTGTGAGTGATGGTGGGGGTGAGGGTGGGGGGGTGGTGGTGCTGTGTAACCACATTCTGGTAGTCGTTTAACACTAATGAAGGCTGATGTGGTGCCTATGGCAACGTTTTCGTTTACCTGATTTAATTTATGTCCTGACATTTTTTCACCTGAATTCTAAACGCGACTCTGCGCGACAGCAGCAGCAGCTGGAGCAGTAGAAGCTGGAGTAACAGCAGTCGATATCCTGCTGTGTCTCCCCCGCTTTCCCCTGTTGGCCGTGTGTCACTTTCATTTCTGTTTGGATATCCGTTTGCGACACTTTTGCAGTTGGGTTTGAGTCTTGTTGCCATTTGCCAACTGTGACGTTGCCGCACAGCGTGGCACGTTCTCAGTTCGGTTTCCATTACATTGCAGCGGAAGCCGGATGTTAAAATTGTTGCGGTTCTCTCACATCACCCACTCCCTCTCACTCCCCCACTCGCATTGCAAACATAAGCTGCTTACAACAAGATAGAGACAACCAACGCCTGGCAACATCAAGGAAATTGCCATGGATATATTGTGGCAGCCACGTCCTCAATTGCACAGCGGGCGAAACCCAATCGCGAGATCCTTTAAATGCTCAATAAAAACTTAACAGAGAAGTACCAATGACTCAATTTACGCACTGCCCAAAGGCGCCCAAATATGACTTCAAAAATCCATTTCCCATCCACAAGCCCAAAGCCATAGCTGATGGAAAACTTTGAAATGTCAAATGCTACATGAAAAAAAAATCAAACAGTACAGTTGTTTTGCGGGATTGCTAAATTCGCACAAGTATTTTCCCCATAGTCATAAAATGCGTGCAGGCATTGCAGCTGAAACAAGAAGGACATCGGACATGTTGCACGCAGTAGCAGCAGCAGTCAGCACTTAAAAGTTGCGCTCGTCACAAGTACCGATTGCAACGATAATGTTCCTTCAGGCAGGGGCGTAGTGGCAGGGTTTAATCCGGTCAATCTCATTGTTCAATGTTATCGCAAATCGAATTTGATAAACAGGAAAATAAATAAACCCTAAGCAGCGAAAATTTATAGAGCACCGTATCATAACATGCACTATAAAAGTGAAAAGTTAACAGCTTAATGGTACAATTTTTATTGCTCCATTTTAATAGTTGTACTAACCCATAAAAGTTAGATAATCGAAAATTGATTTTAAATCTAAGTTTTAGTGTCAACGAATGGATGGATGGATACATTGAGGACTAAATTCCAATTGGAAGATAATGTATACATTTTATTGACAACATTATTTTGCTGAAGTTCAACTGAGGGCAAGTATAAATCGTGCTTTGTAATTAACAATGGCTCCATTATAAAAACATTTAAGTATATCAGCAGCATATTGATTTTTTCTAAAAAATGAAATACGTATGAAATGCAGAAATTAGATTTGAAAACGAAATTGAAATCTTATTCATTATATTGAACTGTCATTAAAATTTGAGATTCAATCATACACTTTGTAAACCATCTATATTCAAAATCAATTTCCATTTGAAAGTGCCGCTCGCTTTCTTTTCACAGGAGACGGATTTTGGCTTTCAGCTGCCGGCAGCAGCGACTTTTCGGATGTTATAAATGTGTGTCATAAATCTACATATGCAATACATATACATACATATATATTTTGCGATTGCTGTTAAAAATTGTGCTATATATTTATCAGCAGGCAGTGGAGTCAGCCGCCAGCAACGTCATGACTCTGCAGTCGGACTCTTATCAGCAGTGGCATCATCATCATCATCTTCATCATCATCATCGCCATCATAATCTGTTTGATGAGCAGCGGCGGGGTGGGGAGAGCTGTTACCTCATCGAAGTCCTGCCGCATACTTGTATACATGTTACGCATCTGGCTGACATTTTATAGGTTTGCTGTTCTGCCTGTTCTTCCGAACGGAACTTTTTGGCAACAAATACGCTGCGATGCCTTGTGGCAAAACAAGTTTTGGTCTCTGCCACTGCTGCATGTGTTTGCGTGTCTGTGTGTGTGTGGGCGTGTGTGTCACTTGGGGGCGACAAAAAATTTGGTAATTTGTGCCTAAAGGTTAAATGTTAATGTCCACCCATTACAGCGCATTTGACATTTGTTTTATAACCAGGTCTCTGCCTGAGAATGGGTTATGAGCAGGTGCAAGGACAACGCCTAATGGTGCGTATTTTTGGGAGCTTGCTAATTTTCAGGCACCCAAAGGGTGTCCGCAATTTATTTTGTAGTTTGCCTAGGCATACACCGCAAAAGTTGCTACATAATTTAAAGAAGCAACAGAAAAAGTTGCAGCCGCTGTTGACACACAGTGGCCAACCGGAAATTTCCTTGCCCCGAGCTGCGGCCACAAATTAAATGCCTCAAAAGCAAACACAAGTACATATAGCCACACAGAGAAAAACTGAAAATATATTTACGCTTGTTGTTGGCCATTAAGCAGCGAAAGGCAACGACAAGGCGCATATTGTGGAATGGCGAATGGGTTTCGTCTTAATGGCGCTTGCAAATGCTGCTAATGTTAATTTAAGAAAATACATTTTGCAAATGCCAATGCATATGTTTGTGTTTTATGTCTGTGTGTGTGCGTTGTGGCTATGGCAACATTTGTGCAATATTATTTGCGGTCAATGTGCCTCAAAAAACGACGCCTGCGGCTGATCCTTTTATTTTTGCGGCTGCTGCCTGAAGCCAATTTATTGTTTGAGCTGCCTCAACTAATTAAAGAAATATTCGCTTAAAAATATCTTACAAACGATGTGCACACGCAGACACAGTTTGGGACAGGCTGCTGCTGTCGCCTATGGAGTGCTCATGTGGCTTGTGACGTGTGCAAAGCAATCAATTATGGCAGTCAAGGAGCAAGTCGACACCGACCCCAACCCCAACCCCAACCCCAACCCCAACCCCAATCCTATATCCATCCTCAACATTTAACACGGCCATCGGGTTGAGCTAAGTTTGGTTGCCAAAAAGCGTGCGAGTGCCTATTGAAAACAACAACAAAGACAAAAAGCAGGCACAGCAACAAGCACAATTAAT